TGAACACTTTGAATTTGAACTTATTATGTATTATCTCATTTATTTAAGAACAAATGGAATTTATTTTACATGTATAACATTATGATCTCGCTAATGTAAGTTGTTTTCGTATATTACATTTGTGTTGGTTATTTTTTTTCAAAGACAACTTTTCAAAACGCCGGAGACCTAAGCATTTCTTAATTTAAACTGACTTTTCTGACATCAAAATATAGCTTTTTGACAGGAGTATTCAACAGTATGTGTTAATAGTATTTCATTCGCATATTAAGTGTGCTTCAATTTTTTTAGTTGCTGCTGTCTCGTTTCTTTTGAGGTAATTCATCGTTATTTACTGATGTGAGTAAGGGAAATTAGACCTAACAATGAGATAAGATAAACTGATTTTTTTTATACCACCAGAAAGGTAAATCTATGTAGAATTCGGTTGTATGTGTTAATAAGAATTCAGATGATTAATAAAAATAATATGAAGAATTAATGAAGGGTACCCATTTATTTTCCCATTACTTTCTATATTAATCGAACATCATTAAAAACATTGCACCCCGGGTGTCGCTGATAAGGGTAATCGGCCATTAGTGTCCTTCATTCTTGGGTATGCAACATTTTGTAAACTGAAATAAAGCCCTTACATTTCATCATGAAGCATCTATAACAGTAGGATATCTTTCCATACCAAAGAAGAAGTCACCTTTTTTTATTTTTAAATCAAGTCAAATGTTTTGCCGTATACATACATTCTTTGTTTCTTCTTTTCAGTATTTTTTATTCTTTATGCCATTTTTTTCTATTCTTTATGCCATTTTTTTCTATTCTTTATTGATTTTGCGATTCATTCTCTATTCTTTTTTGTTTGTTTGTTTTTCTCTTTTGTTTGTTTTTTTTTGCACATTTTCAGTAGTATCAAGTTGATTCTGTAAACCCCATGATCAATATATGTGCCTATCCCAGACAGGAGTCGGTTTCACAAAAAAACTTACGACTAAGATTTATCGTAAGTATACTGCGACTCTTTTCACAAAAAATCTTACGATTAAAATTGATCGTAAGTTATACTGAAATGTGTGTGACTTACGAGTATTTTTACTCTTAAGATTTTTTGTGAAAAGAGCCGCAGCGGCTCGAATTGTTAATGACTTACGATCAATCTTAGTCGTAAGTTTTTTTGTGAAACCGACTCCTGGATCCTATAATTCAGCAGTTATCGTTATTTGCTGTCTATCATACCGGTTGTCTATCCCAGACAGGATCCTATAATTCAGCAGTTATCGTTATTTGCTGTCTATCATACCGGTTGTCTATCCCAGACAGGATCCTATAATTCAGCAGTTATCGTTATTTGCAATTGCTGTCTATCATACCGGTTGTCTATCCCAGACAGGATCCTATAATTCAGCAGTTATCGTTATTTGCTGTCTATCTTACCGGTTGTCTATCCCAGACAGGATCCTATAATTCAGCAGTTATCGTTATTTGCTGTCTATGATACCGGTTGTCTATCCCAGACAGGATCCTATAATTCAGCAGTTATCGTTATTTGCTGTCTATCATACCGGTTGTCTATCCCAGACAGGATCCTATAATTCACCAGTTACCGTTATTTGCTGTCTATCTTACCGGTTGTCATATTTGTTTTTCCTTTATTGTTTTGTCAAAATCAGAACGTTGGTTTGTTCGTCGCCAATTTCACATGCATTTTGTCATATAACTATACGGTATAAGATTTAAAAGAGTTTTGTTCATAGTTGAAGGCCGTTCGACCTACAGTTGCTTATATCTAAAACTACTACATAGATATAGTAATCTCAGTTTAAATCTACTTCATATGGACCAGTTGTCTCATTGGCAATCGTACCAAATCTGCTTTGTTTTATGTAGAACAAAATATCAGTTTTACACGAGAAACTCTACACAAAAATTTAAGAAAAAGCGGACGATTTTTTTTTCCCTATTGTTAGTTTTCCTTTTCGGACGGTGATGTTCATTTGGCTCCGTCTTACGGTGTTTATATATATCGGAACTCATTTGCTATGCCCGTCACGTCTGTAGTGACTTGGATTTCATTGAGCGTTATCTATGTATTACTTGTGAATAATGAAGTCAGTGATTTCGTTACCACAAATTACTTAAAATCTTTACTAAATCTTCCATAGATGCAAAGATTTGGTTTGGAAGTTTAATTGGCTGTACCGATAGCAGAAAACTAATTTCAAACGGAAAGCACATCACAACTTTTATTGTGATGTTTTTTTTTACCGAATTCTGAAATTTAGATACGATCCGGTTAAACTTATCAATCCTATAAATAAACTTATTCTTAAAGGTTACCAATTCAACACTGTAAATAGATCTTTGAATAATGTGTTTATTAATGTGATCATAGCTTGTTATCAGTAAATTCAAACCATACTAAATATTATTGTTATACACATATACAACTTGAGTTCACGATACTACTATCTGTCGATACCTATACTTTTGCATTGCACAAGGTCGTGTTTTTACACTAAATCCATAGGATGTTGGATGTGTGCTGATTGATATTTTAATCTTAGATACATGATTGTTTTATTAGTTGATATTGGCTTTGAGCTGGCTGCCAGTAACTGCGAGCACTCTTAGATCTGTACTATATGTCTTTTTTGTTGCCAGGGATGTATAAATATCCTTCCACGTCCTGTCTGTGTTTTTGTTTGAAGTTTTTCTACTTTGTATTGATTTGATGAGTTAAGCCCTTTTCAACTGAATTTTATAGTTTGTTCTTATGTTGTACTGTTACACCACTGTCCCAGGTTAGGGCTAGGTTGGCGCTTTCAAAAATGTTTAACCCCCAACATTCAATATGTGCCTGTCCAAAGTCAGGATCCTGTACTGATTGAGTGTTTTCGTTTTTTGTTGTTTCTCATATTTGTTTTTCGATTTTTGTTTAAAGTGCAGATTTTGGTCTTGTGTTGTGGTGTCGTTGCACCATTGTCCAAGGATAGGGAAGGGTTGGCGCCTTCAAACACGGTTAACCCGCCATATTCTTTTGTACGTGTCTGTCTCAAGTGAGGAGCTTATGGTTCAGTGGTTGTCGTTGGTTCATGTCTGGCATATTTTTTTTTCGTAAATATACATAACCTTTAGAAATTTGATTATCTTTAAATTACTTGTTGGCACGTTTTGAAATAAAACCACACTGTTGGCGTATAACTTCATTTTTCGATTAAACATTATTGAGTTCGCTAACTTCTCTTTTTTATAAATAAAACCAAATTGGCTATAACATTACCATGATAACTAATTAGAAATGCCAGTTTTTGATGACCTTGAAGTTGTCGGCTTGAAAATTTCAACGACATTACCAAAATTCCCAAATTTTAATCCCATTGTTGAGGATAACAAGCACGATAAGCTTGTTTTATTTTTAATTTTTTATCATTTTTTAAAGATATTATCTCGATGTACACTGACCAGCTGACAAATCACTAATCTGACTGAAATACGCTACACTTACAAGTATCTGACAACACTACGTTCTACATTTACAAGTATCTGACAACACTACGTTCTACACTTACAAGTATCTGACAACACTACGTTCTACACTTACAAGTATCTGACAACACTACCCTCTACACTTACAAGTACCTGACAATACCTGACAACACTACGTTCTACACTTACACGTATCTGACAACACTACGTTCTACACTTATACGTATCTGACAACACTACGTTCTACGCTTACACGTATCTGACAACACGACGTTCTACACTTACAAGTATCTGACAACACCACCGTTCTACACTTACACGTATCTGACAACACTACCATTCTACACTTACACGTATCTGACAACACTACCGTTCTACACTTACACGTATCTGAGAACACTACGTTCTACACTTACACGTATCTGAGAACACTATAGTCTAAACTTACAAGTATCTGACAACATTATACGTTCTACACTTACAAGTATATGACAATACTACGTTCTACACTTACAAGTATCTGACAACACTACGTTTTACACTTACAAGTATCTGACAACACTACGTTCTACACTTTCAAGTATCTGACAACACTACCCTCTACACTTACAAGTACCTGACAACACTACGTTCTACACTTTGTTCTGGTTATTATTACATCAACCAGTTGCAATGAACAATCTGATTTAAATCCTGTGTCCACGTTCCACTTACAAGGTCGACCGTAGCGTGGACACGGGATCTGTATTTCAAACAAATTGGCCAATGAAAATACGATAAACGGGGAAAAAGTCACATGCAAGAAAAAAGTAAAAAATATTGGTAGGAAAAAAAATCAACACATTTGATCAATGTAGGAGAAAAGTCAGAAATCTGATAGGAAATAATGTCCGTTATTGTACAACTGTTTACATTTGTAATAGTATTTCATTTCTGTTTTCTCCTTTAAAAGTTATACGGAACTTTCCGAGTGGCAAATTAATGCCATAATTTAAGAAAAACATTTTTAAAGATTTTTTAAAAAGTGTAATAAATTGTCCAGTTAGAATACAGTTGACAGGAAATGTAAATAATAAATTGAAGATTTGTTTTAAAAACGGCGCGGGACGTTTGCGCTTTTCAGTTATAGGACATTTGCGCTTTTTAATAGACATGTGCGCTTTTTAATAAACATTTGCGCTTTTTATAAAAGGCCATCTGCACTGTTTCTACAGGACATTTATATATGAATTTCGTATATGCCAATCGAAGAGTGGAACCCATATAAGTTGACTTTAATAATGATCACAATTCATTAAGATTATAGCGCTATATATGATGTGCTTTCGTGTTACAGGAAAAAGGTGCAAACGTCCTGTGCCTAGAAGATATAACTTTTAATTTTTTTTAAAAATAAAAAAAAAAATTATGAATAAATCTACAATCGCTCTAAAAGTAAAATGATTTAAAAAAATAATTGTATATTTTTTGTGAAACCCGCCCGGTTCTGCTTTACATATTTTACAAATCAGTACGAAAACTCTAGAGGAGTTTTGTATATTCCGAAAGACAACAACATGGAATCTGAAATTGTGGAAAACAGATTTTCAAATCAAAACATTACAGATGAAGAATCAGAACCTGAGACTGAAATACCTGCTGATGACACGAGGAAAACAGATAAGAAGAAGAGAAAGCACGAAGATCCTGGAATAGTATACCTGAGTCGTATTCCCCCTTTGATGAATGTTAAAATTATCAGAAACATGTTTTCTGTTTATGGAGACGTTGGAAAAATCTTTCTCCAGCCTGATGGTATGAATGATACTTTTGTTTTTTATTCTAGCACAAGATCTAAAATTCTTATCCTTCTTCTTACTGTATCTACCTTCTGTTGTAAGCAGCACATCAATTTCTTGTTTTTATATACCAGTGCCTTATTACCAGGCTCATACATTTGATTACATAGTATTGAGTCCATTTGCCCCAATATTATAAAAATGTTTATTTGTTTGCACCTGTCCTAAGTCAGGAACCTGTTGTTCAGTAGTTGTTGTTTATTGATGTGGTTCATAAAAATATAAGTGTTTCTTTGTTCTTGTCTGCCTTTTTTTATGGCAGTGTCTGCGCGTACCCGCATGCAGGTACGAATATTCAAATTGCCATTCATAGGCTACGCGTACCCACATCCAGTTTTATGATAAAGTGCCATCGGATCGGGAATGAAACCTGAAATATATCATGTATATACGGAATTTGTCGCAATTAGTGAATAAATTGATTAAAACTACTCAGAATTTTTATAAATATTTATATATAGGTAAGTGAACAGTTTTTCTCAGTTAAAAATATTCTTAAAATGGAAGAGAGTGATATACATGTGGGGAAGACATTTCAAAGTTATCATGAATTGGAACAATTTGTTCAGAACTATCAATCGATTATATTTGACGGAGTCAATTGCAGCTGCAGAGAAAAGAAGAACTGGAAACACAAAAATTAAAGAGGAATTAAAGTTTAACAGAATAAATTTTTCCTGTATTCACGGTGGCAAAAAATTCCAAACAAGTTCGACAGGAAAAAGACCTAATACAAGGTATTTGTTTTAAATTGTAGTTTTAAATCGAATTTGCCGCGTTTCATTCATTAGTCAAGTTTATTTTTTTTATGTCGAATATTTCTAGTTTTTCTACTCTTCACTCGTAATTCTACACGAAATCCCCATATTATTGATAATTTCCGTATATATTGCACGTTTCATTCCCGATCCGATGGCATTTTTTTTATAAAACCGGATGTGGGTACGCGTAGCCTATGAATGGCAATTTGACTATTCGTACCCGCATGCGGGTACGCGCAGACACTGCCTTTTTTTATATAGATTAGACCCTTGGTTTTCCTGTTTGAATTATTTTACACTAGTCATTTTGTGGCCCTTTATAGCTTGCTGTTCAGTGTGCTAAGGCTCTGTGTTAAAGGCCGTTCTTTGACCTACATGTATAATGATTTACTTTTTACACTTTGTGACTTGGGTTGAGAGTTGTCTCATTGGCACTCATACCACATCTTCTTATTTCTAATCCTAAATTAAAGTAGATTCACTGTATACCCCCATCTTGGATGTATAGAGCAGTTCATAATCGGTTTAGTTCTTCGCCTAAATCTGCAAATTTTAAGACAGATTTGCAATTTATGCATGTGTAACTGTAAGACTTTTTAATTATATAAAGAAAAATAAGTGATTTAATGCATTATCCATGTTATCCAACATGTCCAAAATGTTTAATAAAATATCAAATATTTATGTTTTCAACTTAGCCATTTAAGGGTAGAAAACTCTTATAGTAAATGTTTATACTGGAATGGTAGTGAAATTATAAAACCTATCTTCTCATATTTTATTTCAAAATTCTCTCTCATGGATTTCTTTTTATTCACAAAAGTGTGTTTTTTTCATGAACAATCTATGCAAATTTGTGCAATTTTTACACGACTAATATCTTGAAAAATAGCAAGGTGACCCATTCTTTTTATTATAAAATTATGTATGAAAAGTGCATAAATTTTAGTAAAATATTCATTTTGGCAAAGTATAAGAAAATTCTATCCGAGGAAATATATATATCGATGATCCACCTTAAATCGCCCTAAATTCATGTCTTACTAAATGATTTACTTAAAAACAAAAAATTAATATGAATGGTATTTAGGTTAAACCATTATAACTATGCTGATATTTAAATGGAAAACATCAAAGAAAATACTTATACCTTAAAATTCATTAAAACACATGAAAATATTTTAAAATTATTTGTTCGTTTCAAGGCTCGACAATAACGCTTGTCCGATTGTTCGGTACCAGAGGAATAAAAGGTCGGACAAGTAAAAGCCATTTCAAGCTTGTCCGAAGGGACAAGTAAAATAATACTGTAGAAAATAAATTAAATCCAACTTTGATGATCAAAGTAATAAAGAAAAAACAATAAAGAAGATAAAAACAAATATTTATTTGACATGTTTACTTGCGACCGATAATTTAAAACTGGTTCTTTGTCAGATACTTTATAACAGATGAAAGGCATTCTATTCTTGGAAACCAGTCTTACCTTTGTATATAAGGTAACAAGATAGTTCGGCACCGACACAGAAACAATAGGCTACATGTTTAATAGACAGTTTGGGACCAAGACAAACCAGTACCTGGTTTCACAGGTTATTCTGTTGATTTATAATAAATATATGATAAATTTTATTTAACAAAAATATTTTAAAAATAAAAATGAAGAAATTATTAACCATAGAATTCAGAAAATCAAATTTGATCATATTGAGACCAACAATATTTGATTGTCTTTGAATAAACATTTTCATGTATTAAAAACAAAGCTGATTCTAGTAAGACATTAATCAGTTATAGGACAAACGCCAAATTTCGTCCTAAAATTTAGGAGATATCAAATTGCACAATTTATTGATGTTAATTAATCCATTCAACATATTACAACCTCTTATCAGACTCCCTGCTGGTAGAGATTAGACAGTCAGATGAATGGGTATGAAACTTTTATCTGTGACCATGGTAATCAGACCACTGACCATCATGACCATAGAGACAAATAGATAAAATTGGAAACAATTCATTAGTGTATAGTTCAGAATTTGTAGAAGAACACTATTTTATAGGACCTTATAGAGTGAAATCTGTTCCAGGAATACAACATATGTGTATATAATATATATATTTTTAAAAGAATTCTTTGTATATATATTTGAAATAATTAGTTAGAGAAATGAATTACTAAATTAATAGTGACACAAGCATGTCAGTTGCGATTCAAGGATATTGAAAAGGGGAGGCACCAAGGCATCATTTGGAGTATCCACATCTAAATGTGAACCTGTTTAAGTCTTGAATTAAAATTATTGGAAAACATTTTTTTTATTAATATCGTTATTTAAAAAAATTCTAAATTATCAAAAAAGCTCAGGGTTCAATCTCTTGATTATGTAGAAGCTTCGTTCAAAGTTTTGTAAAATTCCATGAACGTTTGGCAAAGTTATTAACTATCTTTAACAACAGACTATACCTAAAAAATTGACTGCCAAAAAACAATTTATTTGTTAATTACGAGAATGGGCGGAAAATTCAAAATTTTACTCTACATGTCAGGTATCTATTGAGTATGAAGAATCTGCTTTAAAACTTTCCTGAAAATGAAGGTTTGAGAAAGGTTATTGATATTTGTTAACTTTAACCCTGGCTGTATCTAAATATTTATTAAACAAAAAAAGTTCTAATCATCAGCAAAATACAGAAAGAAAATTTAAAATAAAAACTAGAAAAAGTGATGCCCCCGCACTCCACTCTGAAGTAACTTTATTATAACAAAGTCAATGTATGACGTCCTTATGAGATATTATTGTGTCTGGGAGACACAAATGATGCCCCCGCAGATGCAAAGTGTTATTTTAAAATACACAAAGTTGAGCATGTGAGCACATAGGTCTATGGTTCACTGTAGGAGGAGTTATCCAGAAACGTTGTGCACCTCTGATGCAAGTATATACTCCAAAAATGACAAAGTTCCAACTATCTCCCAAAAGAGCAAATTTTGATAAAAATCAAAACCCTGACCACTTGCACACCTTCAATATATGTACAAACAGCCAGCAAAGTGAAAACTTCCTAACATTCAAACTGTAGGCGGAGTTGTCCGGAAACACTATGCACCTCTTATGCAAGTAAATACTCCAAAAAATGACAAAGTTCAACTATCTTCCAAAAGAGCAAATTTTGATAAAAATCAAAACCCTGACCACTTGCACACCTTCAATATATGTACAAACAGCCAGCAAAGTGAAAACTTCCTAGCATTCAAACTGCTGGAGAATTATCTCGAATAGCTTTATACCAATAATGGGACGGACGGACGGAAAGACGGAAGGACAGGACATACGGACAGACAGGGGTAAAACAATATCCCCTCCCCCAACTTTCAGTTGCGGGAGCATAAAAACAAAAACGTTTTTCTTGAGTTGCCATTTTTTGGTCATGATGAAAATTCTGTCCCTGTTCATAAAATTCCATAAAGTTATTGATATTTAGAATCTTTACCCCAAGACTAAATCTAAATAATAACTTTAAAAAAGCCTTTTATCAGTTAAGTAAGGAAAATTGATACAAATGTTATAAATTTTACTCATGTTCTTGAAAAACCTTATTTATAATATCATTCAATAATGCTTCGACAAAGTTATAGATGTCTAAGAAAAACTAATACCTCAGAAAGTATTAATAAACTCATCATAGATACCAGGCATCAACTTTTGAACATTTGACTCACGTTTAGTCTACAAACGACTCATCAGTGACGCTCGAATAAAAAAAGTTGTAAGGCCAAAATAAAGTATGAAGTTGAAGAGTATTTGGGACCCAAAATTCCGAAAGGTTTTGCATAATACAGTTAAGGTAATCTATTCATGAAATTATAAATCCATAGTATTTAGAAAAATTTAAAGTTTTGTAAACTGTTAATTTATAATAACATTAGTGCAAAAAAAAAATTATAACAGTAAAATATTGAAAAAAGAAATTCTCTGGATGCTGTCATTGTATAGAAGATATGTCTGTTAGTTAAATAAATTCTATGAAGATTTATCAAAATATTGACGTTAAATGTTGATGTCACGTCTAGAGACGGATTAGTTTAGTTTCAAAACAATATTTTATTTTTAAAAAGTGCACAAATTACAATAGAAATACAGGGATTTGGAAACAAGAAGAACTTATATAAATCCGTTCCCCATAGAAGGATTGTTATGTCTAGATTAATTTTGGCGACTTTATTTTGCAGGCTAGACAAATAGCAAATTGTAAAACTGGAAATATTAAAAATGTCAAGATTTTTTTTGGTGAAATGAATTTTGAACTACTTTATAAATTTTTAAAACTTGTGTTGGATTTTTGACACCATTATTTCTGAGGTATTTCAGAACATTAAATTTGAAAACTTCTCAAGTTTCAATCCAGTATACAAAAAATATTTTACAAAATCTGTCATTTCTTATACATATTTATATTGTAGATTTAGTTATACGCTTAAATATAAAAATAAAACACTAAACACAAATACTCCGTATCCAAATGTTTGCATTGCCAAAACTTAAAAAAAAGGGGGGGGGGGGGGGGATGGGGTCTTGTGTATAAAAAATTCAAAAGTCAGAAGATTTTGCCACTAGCTGATTCTGATAACAATCTATTTATGTGGAACAGTACTTTTACAATACATAGAACACATGTGGTCATTTCTGGTCAGTCATCTAAAATATTGTGGTAATCAGAAGATTTCCTGCTGTGAAGACAAATAAACAAGTGTTTGAATAAATGATTTATCAATAAGCTGTTAATTGGTTAATGTTCTGGCTATTTTGCTGAAGAAACTCAAAATCTGGCGTTTGTCCTATAACTGTAATCATAATAATAAATATTTTATCAACATAAAAGACCAGGATACAAACCAAATAAGTGTAGACTGACAGGCTTACCAGACTGTGCCTGATGTTCAGAGTCTGATGAGACTTTGGCTTTGATGAAAACTAGAACCTAAATCCTGTGACTAGACATGACTAGATTCAGTTGTTCTTGACTCATATTTTTGAAAAGGATATCAAGAGATATAAATCAAATTCTGTTCTATTGTTTTAATTCATTTTGTTCAATAAATCAACCTAAAATGCAAAAAAGGTTAACATAAAGTTTTTTTTTGGACAAGTTACAATTCCATTCGGACAAGTAAGTTTTGGTATGTACTTGTCCTATTGGGCATGTTGAAAAAAAGTTATTGTAGAGGCCTGCATTTTCGAGCAATGATTGGCTTCGTTGTTACATTTGTTTTTATTGTTGATTGTAAGGGAGCTACCATTTGATTTTTATGGGGGGGCTAGGATGAAATTTGAAAAAAATTTATGTAAAAAAAAGTCAGGATAAACTAAAAAAAAAAAGGCAGGACCGAATAGAGTGAAAAATAAAAAGGCAGGACAGAGATTACAACTAAAAAAAAAAGCAGGACAAAATTTTTCATCCTAGCCATTCAAATGGGAAAACCAATAGTCTAATCTATATAAAAACAAGAAACGAAAAACACTTATGAACTACATAAACAGACGACAACTACTGTAAGCTTGTATTTCTCTGCACTTCAGTTAAAAGCAAAGGAAAGGAAAAGACTATCTGGTAGTGGCAATACCACATAATTTATAAATATTCCAAACACATTTTAACACACTCTATTAAAAAATATATTATACATGTACCATTATACAACAAAACAACAAAATAAAATAAGAAGCTGGGCGAACAGACCCAGTACTAATTATGCTTATAGGTATTAGGGCAAACAGGTAATAGGGTGAACCTAAATCAAGACTAACAGACCCAGATTCATACTACACAGACAAAATAGATAAAATAACAGTGGTTAATACGTTATGAAATGCACTTTCTTATTTAATCGATGGGCTTATATTACAAGGATTAATGAATATTATGATGCTGTTTTCATTACAAATAAATGTCTGGCAAATAGCAACTATCTTTTAAATGATTCAGGGTCAGTTAGCACTGATTCCTGTTCGTCCTTGTTCCTGTTTGCCCTGGCTCTGTTCAACCTATTACATATGTGCCCAGATTCATATTTTATTTTGTTGTCTTGTTACGTTGTATATAAAATAGTTACAGAAGGTGTTAAGTAACAATTTAAAGTGGATTTTTTCCAAAAAAAACCCAGCATTTAAATGATCTTGAATTTTATAATATTCTTATTGTTAAGACCATTATTAAACTGGTCAGCATAGAGTCAAAATCATGTGTAAATCTGAGTGAAATTCTTCGCTGTCATGGCTTAGTTAGTACATTTGTAAATTGCAATTGGATTTAATTGCCTAACAGTTAATTAAAAGGAGCGTATTTTCTGATGAAAATATACACAAGTAGAAAATTAAATGCCAACATACAGGTATATGACATATAATTGTATGACCAGCATGATTTCTTACAAACAAATGTCTATACCACATTTCAAACTATATATTGTCCCAAGTCAATTTAATTGAAATACAGATCATTTCTGTGTGTCATGCTTTTCTTACAACATCAGCAAGGATCATACAAAATATTGTTTAAATTCTGTTTCTGATATATATATATATATATACATTTTGTATTATGTCAACCAATAAAATATCTGTCGACACATTTTCACACCAGGTATTTCGATCCGAAATACGCTGAGGGATCTGAATTCTGAGGAGAAATTACACGAAAAATACCAGCAATGGGCAGGTATACAGAAAATTCGGATCTGACTTTACCTACCCACTGTTCGTACTTTTTCGTGTAATTGTTTCAGATTTCAAATTCCTCCACAGATTTCAAATCAGGATGCCTGGTGTGAATTTTTTTGAAGGTATGAACAATACTACATGTATCATTATGACAAATCTCAACGATCATGAAAATGTCTCCGGAACTGAAAATAAAAAGTGAGTTGACACAATCAAACCCTTTTATATGAAGGATGGATACAGCTAGAATCTGTAATTTAATCAGATTGGTCTCAAGCGTAAAGACATTCCAGACCAGATTTAGTGGTGACTATCAATAGCAAATATAAAAAATTAACACCAAGTTTATTGTTGTTCACTTCTTTCAGACAAAGCAGCCAATACAAAGAAAGGCAGGATGTTTACAGAAGGATGGGTGGAATTTGAGGACAAGAAGGTGGCAAAAAGTGTGGCAACTAAATTAAATAGTAAACAAATTGGTGGTAAAAAGAAAAGCAGATGGTATGATGAAATGTGGACATTAAAATATTTACACAGGTACATGTACAATACTAATTAGGGCTGTTGAGCCTGTTCAAGAATAAAACACATGGACATGATAAGAGGCACTTTTTTTAGACCCCATTTCATTTTAAATACTTAACATGCTTAAATTATCTGTTTATATAATTTTTACAAAAGTTTAAGGAAAATGCAACAACCCACAATTAACTTGATTAATGAATTTGAGTGCCTCTCATCCCTTTAACACAATCAATCTTGGAACAGCCCTTAGCACAAACTTTTTTATCAAGCCTGCAACATATTGTCAACTAGCATATATAGGAATGCATAGCAATCCTTCATTTTGTAGTCATCGGCAGCGTCAACATTTAGTTTCCTCTTACCTATTGAAAATCATGATAGATAGCTATATTTACTTATTTAGAGAGAAACTTAAAATAGCAAAAATGATGTGCAAGACAAGATCTACAAATAAGTCAACATGGCTGAAATATTCTGTGGAATACTGATTGAAGTGGTTGTCCTTAAATGACAATTTTTACCAATTTCTTTTTGTTTTTGCCTTTTATCTTGAAAACTATAACAGATCAAAGGAAATTTAAATAGAAAAAATGATCAGCAGGACAAGATCTACAAATAAGTCAACATGGCCCAAGTGGTTAGTCAATTCCAAAGCAAAGCTAAATATAACTGGGGTTTAACATAACAAAAACAAGTCATGAGTAGAATTCAGTAGTTGTCGTTTGTTGCTGTCCATGCTGTCTGTTATATTTGTTTTTCATTTATTTTTTTGTCATTGATTAGGCAGTTGGTTTTTTACTTTTGAATTTTATTTCACATTTTGTCATTTATGGCCTTTTATATTTGGCTATATGGTATTGGTTTAGCACATTGTTGAAGTCTTTAAAGTGACCTATAATTGCTTAAATCAGTATTATTTGGACTGGGTTGGACAGTTGTCTCAATGGCAATCATACCAAATCTACTATTTGTTTTAAGACAAGAAGTGATGTGGGAAAACTGAACATGAGACATCTACAGAACAACAAGTTTCAGCCAAAAATGTACATTTTTGCAATGACCGCTACTCAACCCATACTTCATACTGTGGATTCATTTATTTTCTGGGGTACAATTTTCAGGGATTGAAGAAGCATTGTAATTTTGTGGATATTTGATTTCATGATTTTGCAAAAGTCTACATTGAAGCTTAAGGAAATATGTCCTTCATGGAACATTGGAATTTATTATACTTCACATCAAAATGCCAGATTTTGATTGGATAATACGAGGGTGATAATTTACTCTGTCCCATGGCTCAGCGGGAAACAATATTTTGAATGTCACCCTCTCATGCATACCAATCAAAAATTGATAACTTAAAGGACAATGAATTGAATTTACATAAATGAATTAAAGACAATGCTCAAGGTCTACGTTTTGGCCTCAGAAGAACTTTTCCATAAGACTGTCAAAATAAAAGAAATATAGTCTTGCTTCACTTCTGTTCTTTTTCTAATAACTGTTACATTGTTGTGTATGTGACGTCATAGTTAAGTCCTTTCAATTTAAAATTTAACAGTAAAAGACAATAATGATTGAACATTCAGTATAATAAATTAAATAGCACATAGCTGAGAGGGTGATAGAGCAGATTGGTACCCCTCGAAAAAGCATTATCAACCTCTGCTTCACCTCAGTTGACAGTATTTTCTCGGGGAAACAATCTGCTCTATCACCCTCTCAGTTATGTGCTATTTATATAATGTGGTTCACCTATCAAGCCTATACCCACAAAATCTACAAAAATTGATACCCGATAATGAATCCACAGTAGTCATGGTAGTTGAAAATATATACATTAAGAAAGTCAAGTTTAAGAAGATTTTTAATGTATACAACATGTACAATAAATATAGCAAGGAGACAATAAATCTTGATATTAACAGCCATACACATGTATCTTTGATATTTATTGTAGATTTAAGTGGGCACATCTGAACGAAAGGTTAGCATATGAGAGAGCAGTACATAAACAGAGGATGAGAACTGAAATAGCTCAGGTCAAACGTGAGGCAAACTTTTTTATTCAAAATGCAGAAAAAAGTCAGACAATCAAGCATATAAAAGAAAGAAAGTTAAAAAGAGGAGAAAAGTTTGATGAACCAAGTAGTGACAGATCAATTGAAGTGTCTCAGAGATCGACAGAAGAGGAAATTATGAATAAAAGAAAAAGAAAACTGTCAGCAAGAATTTCAGATAAGACAATGAAAAAGCCAAAAGGGACAGAAACTGAATTAGTGAATAAGAAATCTCTTGCAGCACAGAAGTCATTCATAAATAAATTATTTTCTAAGTCATCAGCAGCAAGCGACGAAGATTAATGAAATAAAACAATTATCTTGACCTTCATATGTCCTTCAGGCCAAAAGTAAAAGAGCATGGCCATTGATAGTAAATTTCATAAAACATTTACTTTTTTTACAGTTTTTTCAATTTTGGTTTGAAATTATCCAACAGAAGGCTATATTGCCAATACAAAGGGCAACATTTTTAAAAAGACAAGCTCATGTATCTGCTGACAGAGGTTCTTTTCATATTGAAATCTCAAAATCATTGACAGGGTCAAATTATTGCTTAAACGGAAAGCATCATTTGTATTTCGTATTACATGGATTGAATGCATTATTTATTTCTACAATTGGAAATAAAACATGTCGTGCTTTTTTAGCTCACCTGGCCCAATGGACCAAGTGAGCTTTGATCATCACTTGGCGTCCATCACTGTCATCTGTTAAATTTTACAAAAATCTTCTCCTCTGAAACTACTGGACCAAATTTAACCAAACTTGGCCACAATCATTATTGGGGTATCTAGTTTTAAAAATGTGTCCGATGAACCAGACAATCAACAAACATGGCCACTATGGCTAAAAATAGAGCATAGTGGTGAAATGCAAATTTTGTCTACTATTTTGAAAACTGTTATGAATAGAGAAAATCTGACATAGGTGAACATGTTAAGAATGTTGAGATCTACCAATTGACTATATACGTCAAAATTGTCAGACGACTTCTTTTAAGATCTAGAGTTATTGCCCTTTAATGACAAATTTTACAATTTTTTTTCATTTTTGCCAATTTTTTGTAAAAAAAAAAATGAATCCAGAAACTTAAATAGCAAAAATGATCAGCAAGACGAGTTCTACAGATATTTGAATGGTCGAAATTGTCAGTCAACTCCTTATTAGAGTTACTGCCCTTTGATGATGATTTTTACCAATTTTTATACGACCACAAAAATTTTTTTGCGTCATATAATTGCTATGATGTCGTAGTCGGAATCGTCTGCGTCGTCGTCCGATGACACATTTGGTTTCCAGACAATAACTTTAGTTTAAGTGAATAGATCTCTATGAATTTTTACCAGAAGGTTCAATACCACAAAAGAAAGGTTGGGGTTGATTTTGGGGGTGATGGTACCAACTGTTTAGGAATTAGGGGCCAAAAACAAGCATTTTTGTAGTTTTCCGGACAATAACTTGTGTATTAGTGTATGGATCTTTCTGAAATTGTACCACAAGGTTCCATATCACAAAGGGAAGGCTGGGATTGAGTTTGGGGTTAATTGCCCCAAATGTTCAGGAATTAGGGGCAAAAAAGGGATCAAAAACAAGCATTTTTCTAGTTTCCAGACAATAACTTGTGTTTAAGTGTATGGATCTCTCTAAAATTGTACTACAAGGTTCCATACCATAAAGAGAAGGCTGGGATTAAGTTTGGGGGTAATTACTCCAAAAGGGGGGGTGGGGGGTTAAAAACGTTGGGGGGATTTTTTTTGCGCAATAGCAATAGCAAGAAATCTTCAATTGAAAACAAATACAAATGTTTTAACCAATTTTGATGGGATTAATTAAGTCTTTAATTTTTGGGAGTTCTAACCTTGTATAATTATACCCCTGCTTTAAAAAAGTGGGGGTATACTGTTTTACCTCTCTCTGTCTGTCTGTCTGTCTGTCCGTTCATCCGTCAGTCCTTCAGTCTGTCCTTCCGTCCCATGAATATTTTTCGTCGCATCTTTCTCAGGAACTACATTACAAGGATTTCTGAAATTTGGTTTCAGGGTTTATATAAGTCAGCTATACTGTGTGATGCGTTTTCAGATTCATCACTCAACAACTTCCTGTTTACCGAACACTTGTATCATTTTACACATGATAGCCAAGTTGAAAATTTTGTCACATTTTTCTTAGGAACTACAATACAAGGATTTTTGAAATTTGGTTTCAGGGTTTATATTGATTTTTTGATTGATTTTTGGTGTTTTATCGCCAATTTTAAGCACCACTTTTGGGTTATTTCTTGGCGGCCAGTTTATATTGGTGGAGGAAGCCGGAGTGCCCGGAGAAAACCACAGACCTTCGGTAGGAAAACTGACAATCCTAGTCAATTAAGATTGGAGTCGAGTGCACCCGCATGAGCGGGGTTCGAACTCACAACCTCAGTGTTGACTGGCTAGTGATTACAGTAGTAACTACTTAGACTACTCGGCCACCAAGGCCCCTTCAGGGTTTATATAAGTCAGCTATACCGTGTAATGCGTTTTCAGAATCATCACTCAAAAACTTTTTGTTTTCCGAACACTTACATATTTTTACACTATTAAAATTATCCACTTGCAGCAGGATATCATCAGTGAGCAGTAGCTCGCAGTTTCACTTGTTTTTTTGGATATTGGGCCCCATTTTTAAATTGGTCTACATTGAGGTCAAAAGGATCCAAAATTAAACTTTGTTTGATTTCATCAAAAACTGAATTATTGTGGCTGTATGATTTGCTGAATCTTATTGTGCATTTAGATTTTTATTTTGGGCCCTGTTTTCAAATTAGTTCATATTAAGGTTTGAAGAGTCCAAAATTAATCTTTGTTTGATTTCAACAAATATTAAATTATTGCTGTTTTTTTAATATGCTGAATCTAACCATGTTGTTAGATTTTGGATATCAGACCATTCTAGGTAAATTAAATGTCCCATTTCAAATTTTTAAGATCTTTGACCACATTTATTTTGTGTCAGAAACCTATATTATGTCAAAAATTTGATCACAATCCAAATTCAGACAGTATCAAGCTTGAATATTGTGTCCAAACTTGCCCCAACTGTTCAGGGTTCGACCTCTGCGGTCGTATCAGGCTGCACTCAGTGAAGCATTTTGTTTGTGTTTTTTGTCTTATATTTTAAAATTTATAATAGCTATATAGTAACTTAAATAAGCAAAAATGATCAGCAAGACAAGATCTACTAACAAGTCAAATTTTGCTGATATAGGTAGTAGACTTGTCACTCTTTATAGGAGTGATTGTTCTTAAAGGAGGATTTGTTTTACCCTCTTTTGTGTTTTGAGCAAAAACTGAAGAAGATATAGAGAAACTAAACAGACTAAATGATCAGCAATACAATATCAACAAAACAGAGATATTTGTCATGAATTTTATTCTTGTCTACAATGTTGGGAGTTTGTTCTTTGTTGAATATGCACATAGACCAAGGTGAACGACACAGGCCTTTTAGAGCCTCTAGTTTCTTCATCCCATACGCCATGTATTGTTCATTGTAGCGTGCATTAATGCCTTAATAGTAAAAAAAGACTTGTTTTAAGAAATTTATTTCATTGTGGCCGATCTGAAACGGATAATTTGTTTTGCCTGTTTTTAAAGTGTGAAGCCAAACATCATGACTATGATACATTGCTCATGTAATTTGAACATAATTATGGCAAGCCGTTCTCTTCAAAACTATGTTTAAACCATATTTTGGAAAAAATTACACACTGAGAATTTAAAAAATCACACTGAGATTTAAGAACCTTAAATAAAACACTGAGAAATTGAAATTACACACTGAGATTTTATAATTACACACTGAGATTTAAAAATATGAAAAACACACACTGAGAATTTAAAATTACACACGGAGATTTTAAAAAGACACACTGAGATGAAATAAACTGAAAAACACACGCTGAGAATTGTTATTTACACAATGAGATTTCAAAAATACACACTGAGATTAATATGCAAATTACTAATGAATATTCATGAGATGAATAATTCAACAGATTAATATCTTGGTCTCCTGAACTCTTGTCATTATAATGAAATGCGGTTCCTACAACCAACATTCGTAATAAATTTCAAGACTTAACAAATTTTTTTGCTAACTTGTATTCATAAGTTTTTTTGCCTATAATTCAGATTATTACTAACAGTATATCGGGATTTTTGCTTAAAACTGTTTTTTTTTCAATTCTCAGTGTGTATAATTTTCAATTCTCAGTGTGTGTTTTTCATTTTTTGTAATCTCAGTGCGTTTTTATGAAATCTCAGTGTGTAATTTTTAATTCTCAGTGCGTGTTTTTAGGTTTTTTAATCTCAGTGTGTAAATTTTTCGAAAAATGGTTTAAACATAGTTTTGACGATAACGGCTTGCCATACATAATTATATTTTTACAGGTAGGATTGATGTTTGCGATACATAAAATAATAAAATTAAAAGTGGAATGTATCATTTCAATACTTTAAGTTAATATGATTTATATTTTTGAACCTAGACCCTTAAAGTCAATTTGTGACCCCCAGAAACATTGACTAAGTAAATATTCAGAATGTCAATTACCTGCTTTCCATATCTACCAAAATTGCCAGAAGTATCTTCATTGGAGTTATTGCCCTCAGTTTTTGTCTTGCCTTCACAAAAGTAGCAGTATGCGAGACATAGGTATTACTATCTAGAGGCAATGGTGTTAACTATTTGTTTAAAGCTTTATATTCCAGAAGGTAGAAAACTTTGATTTTTCATACCTTGTGTGCAGATACCTCATGTTAGAAATTTTCCGTCTATGTCCATTGCAGAGGCGGATTTAGAGGGTTTTTCAGGGGCCCCGGGCCCCCCCATTTTGTGGGAAAAATTTGGTTGATTATATAGGGAATCACTGAAGTATGATAGGAGCTGGCCCCCCCTTAAGCAGTCAGTGGGCTCCCCTCTTATGAAAATTTCTGGATCCTCCACTGCATTGTCCTTAACCTCATTTTCATGGTTAGTGACTGCTTGAAAAAAATTACTGTTGTTTTGTTAAGGATGTACACCTCTGAGGAGCCAAAATTTCTAGAATTAAACTTTTTTTCTTAACCTGATTTTTATACGCCCGTTTACGGGACGTATTATGGTATACCGTTGTCAGTCTGTCCGTCCGTCCGTCTGTCCGTCCGTCTGTCCGTCGTCAACATGTCCAACATTAACTCAAAAATGCTATAACCAATTTGTATAAAACTTTGGTGAATTGTTTATATCTTTTGACATGAGCTCCCTTTCGTTTTTTATAAAATTTAGATTTTATGTTTCCGAGTTGTGGGGTTTTATTCATTAAAAAAAGGGGGATTTTCCAGTTTTCGGACAATTAGTCTAGAATGCTTTCACCAACTTGCAAGAAATTGTGGTGAATTGTTTATATCTATTGACATGAGCTCCCTTTTGATTTTTATAAATTTTAGATTTTACGTTTCTGAGTTACAGGGTTTTATTCATAAAAAAAGGGGGGATTTTCCAGTTTTTGGACAAAAACTCAAAAATGCTTTCAGCAATTCTTATGAAACTTTGGTGAATTGTTTGTATGTATTGATGTAAGCTCTCTTTAGAATTTTATAAATTTTACATTTTACGTTTC